AAACTAATGAGTAAAAGGAGCAAAGAAAGAAAAGAAGGAAGAAAAAGTGCAGAAAGATAGAAAAAGAAAAAAGCTTCTGATTTCTTTTGAGGCAATTATAAGTACAATTACAAAATTAATGCTTACTCTAATGATTGCAAAAAAAAAGCTTACTTTTTTCTATTATCCAGTTTTTTGCTCATCATCAAAACCACAAATCATCAGTGCATTTTTTTCTGTTTCATGCAAAAAGCCTATAAGCGGTTTCCAGCCAGCCATAAATGTACACATTGTCTTTTCTCTAATCAAAGAAGTTAATTTAGCCATCTTTGCAAGTTCCATCATTTTCACCAGCCTCAAACACCTCTTTCTGAATCATTAAAACAAGCCTGTCTTTCTCCAGGCTTACGGCGTCTGCCCCGTTGCTGGGGGACAACAAGGAACGTCCTTGTTCTCCCCCAGCAAAGCATCTGTGTGCATACCCCCTCACGAGGAGATAAACAGAAGCAGCCACGTCAGCCTAGAAAAAGAATTTTGGAGTGCGATACATCTTATCAGTGATCAGATTACTTCCCATAGTGTGGTAAGAGCCGTCTGCTGAAGCCCTAAGAAATCAAGACCGATTGCTTTACATAAGCGTATAGCGGGCAGATGTTTGTAGAAATATACAGTAATCACTTGGGTAATATGAAATAATGCGTGGCTGGGGCTTCTTTGGTGTAATGAGAAAAATCAAGCAGGATTGAATAAGCAGAAGGGTAGCATTTATGATACTTAATCTGGGCCTACAGAAAAAGAGAAAACAGTCTCTTCTTCAATGATGCTTAAAAACGTAGCTTTACACAAGCGTTTAAAGTTGTTGCGACAGTGTTTTTTGAAACCTTAGCTTTCATTTATTACAGAAAATCCCCAAACAGTTCACCATCAGAATAAAAACAAGAAAAAAAAAATAGCCCACCCCATCCCAAATCCATGAACGTACAAATGTTAGGGAGAAAACTAAACACTCTTTTGGATCTGTTGTGCCTTGGAAGGGTTAATACATAAACTTCCATTGTGTTTCCTGGCCAATTCAAAGAATTGGTGCTGATCTTTCAAACGCTGACCAGCCTGATGCTGAACTATCAAAAACAGATGTTTTCAACTGGTGTCCTCCAATGTATTGGACACCTATTTCAAAATTTCTAGCTTGCTGGTTAGGAATTCTGAAAGCTGCAAGCCTCTGTATGAAACAAGGGCACCAGTTGGGGACAGCAGATCAAAAGGACTATTTTCTTCTAAACGTACCACCCAAATGTTTTAATCAACTCTGGAGACCCCTTCATTTTTCACATCCTCAGTATCTATATTGCTATTTCTTTCAACGCTGGCCAAAACTCCTTTAAGAGGAGTTTTGAAATTTTAGGTCCTTCCTGAAATGGCAGCTTTTACATATTTTTCAATCAGCTGAGAAAAATAAGTAATACTTGCATGAGAGGAGCTGACAGTTGTCAGAGCAGCATTATTTAGCTAACAGTGGAGAAACACCTTCCTGGTCAGCAGAACTGAAATAACTAGCAAAAGATTCTTTGTCTTCTAGAATGAGATCACTGTAATCCACAAAGACATCTGCTATGGTTCATTTGATATTTTTCAAGTGACTCATATGTCCTAGTAATGTTGGTATAGCTTCCTCACTTGTTAACGTTTAATTCAAAACGTGGAAAGCTATTGCATGAGGACGTTGAGCTGGTTCTCCGAGGTGCAAAAATGTTCTTACTATCTCACCTGATGGATTTGGTAACTTCCAGATTGCCCCTCCCCAGTTTTTTGAGGTTCTCCCACCTTCAGTTCCCACACCTCACCCTGGGTCACCTGAGTGAGCCCTGCTGCATCCATTGTCCTTCTTCAAGAATATGATCCAACTCAGCAGCATCCAAGGAAGCTATTCCACAACCTGCAAGAGAACACACACACATTTATCTAATTAATCATCTGACCCTTTTCCCATCCCAACAGGATGATCAAGGTATCTAATAAAAACAACACACAAAAGTAAAATAAGTTTAACGCATAGGTAGAAATAACCACATAAATATTAAAATCATTATGAAAAGAACTGAAGAAGCCTAGTTAAAGAGGCAAATTGAATTCCCTTTTTGAAGGCGGAGAGAATGAAGCAAGCATGACCCAATTCAAACGTCACAGAATTTTAATAAAGCACGTTGTGCGAACCCAATTGGTGCAGTTTGTAAGTGTGCTTTGTGGCTTAGCAATGTATTATACAAATAAAAATGGTTGAGAGTTTGATTCTCTAGCCTTCAGAATTGGTAAGGATGATGGGTATGCAAAAAAGATCCAGAGAACAACAATGGGTAAAAAGGCCTCAGGGTGGGGGCTAACACATACTCATGAAAGACCAAAACTTTGTTTCCATCAAGACAAAAGTTAGAATGGTCATCACAATGGTCTTTTTTGTTATAATGTATGGATGGGAGGGAGGGATTCTGCACAAGAAGGAGGGGAAGATTTGGCTTCCTTGAACTCCAGTCCTGGAGAAAGCTGCTGTTACATTCCTTGTCAACCAAGAAAAAAACAACTGTTCAATATGAGAAGGAATCCAATGGTCACACTGGAAGCAAGGCTGGTGAAACAAAACCCATCATACTTTGGTCACCTTGTGAGGTCTGTCAGGGAAAAAACACGTTAAACACGGGAGACAGACACACCAGAACATAAGTTACTTCAAAGTTCTAAAAGCTTTATTAAAAGTTAGTTCAATGAGCAAGTAAAATTTAATCAGTGAGATACAAGGTACTTACTTAGATGCACATTGCAGTGAGGACCAGCAAGAGCAAGCTGTCAGCGGAGACAGCTTGACCATGTGGCCCCGACCCT